GTAGTTATAATTGCACAAATTCATCACATGAACTTAGAGTGGGTGCATTTGATGTTTTGTAGGACTTTGGGGCTGATTTGGAAACAATAAGACAAGATTTAGGGCACAATTAAATGAAGGTCTAACGTGGCCCCGTGTAATAAGCCTTGCACGGCCGTGCATAGATCGTGGGAGTATTGGCAGAAAGTTGCACGAAGCTATGCACAAGAAATTTGTTGTCGGTCAAGACTGTGCTAAGTCAAGTTGAAGATTTACAACTAATCTTTGACGAGATCTGTGACAAGGGGATGGTGGTGAGTGAAGCCTTCCAAGTGGCATCTGTGATCCACTTATTGCCTCCAAGTTAGAAGGACTTCAAGAATTACCTGAAGCACAAGCGAAAGGAAATGAATCTGGATGACCTGATCTAACGACTCAGAATTGAGGAGGGGAACATGAAAAATGATGGGAAAGGTCCTGTCATTGGTGATGCTAAAGCCAACGTTGTGGAGCATGATAAAAGCTCCAAGAAAGCCAAGAAGGACAAGTAGAAGCTAAGTCCGAAGGGAGGCGTTACCAAGACCACGTTTCATGATAAATGTTTCAATTGTGGCAAGAATAGCCACAAGTCTCTTGAATGCAAGGATCCAGGGTTTTCCTTAATGAAGAGTGTTCAATAGTACTTCACAAAAATTACCCACCGAAGGTGGGAGATCCCGGATCGTTCGTCATACCATGCCAAGTGAAGGATCTTGATTTTCATGATGTATTGGCGGACTTGGGTGGGTTAATCAACGTGATACCCTTCTTTGTTGTGGATAGGTTGTTCTTACCTCTTGACTCCCACAAGGATGAGCATAAGGTTGAGTGATGGGTCCACAAAATACCCCAGGGGTATTGCAGAGGACATGTTGGTTCAAGTCAAAGGACTTGTCGTACCGGTTGATTTCATAGTGCTAGACATAGAAGATCAAGATCCCGATATGCATTGATTTTTGGGAGGCTATTTTTGGCTACTTGTAGGGCCATCATTGATGTTGGCACATGCAATTTAACACTACATGTTGGGCATGAAGAGGCCAAATTTTCTATGCAACAAGAAGTTCAACGAGGCAAGGGACCAAAGGGCAAGGATAAGGCAAAGAGTTTTTGGAAGACAACGGACTGAATCGGATGGTTGCAAGTTACTTTCACCAAAGCGGGAGGTGATGTGTTTGAAGAAGAAGTGTTGATGGTGCCGGGCTAAAGACATAAAACGTAGTGCTACTTAGGATGCAACCCAAGGTATTTTTCTCATTTTCAGTCATTTTTGTACTTTTATTTTGTGTTTTGGGTATACTTTTTGCAAGGTTAAGTCAATGTGAGGTCTGGAAGAAGTACATTGCAAGGTATTAAGGGAAGGACCATGCACAAAGAGCTGCATGAGCATGGGAAGAAGTGTGCAACTTTCTGCCTCATCCTGCATGACGCGCGTACATGCGCGAGAGAGCTTGTAGAATTTTTTGGACATTTTTGCACGAAGGCTTGCACGAGTGTAGCTCTAAGGTGTGCAACATTCTGGATATGTTTGCATGAAAGGCTACACGAGTGTGGGAGTAGGCATGTAACTTTCTAGAAGTCTCTTCTGCAGGAGCGTGCAAATTTCTAGAAGTCTTTGCACAAGAGCCTGCACGAGTGTGCATTTATGCATACAAAGAAGCATTTTTATGTGAAGTCTTGCACAAGGTCTGCACACATGTGCAAACCCTCGTGCAAGCTACCCTATGACATATTTTCTTTTTAAAACCATTCCCTTCCCCTCATTCTACCCATTTGCATGAAATTTCCATCCCAAGGTACGAGCATACTTCCCCATTCTTCAACTTTCCTCTCAATTTTAAAGATTCTTTGGGAAATTTCTCCCTTTCCTCTCACTAATTCAAGATATGTGACTTCTCCTCTTTAATTTTGGGCACTTGTTCTTTACGTTCTAGTTTATATATCTTGTGTGAATTGTGATATAATAGTGTGAAATTAGTGTTTGAATTACCTTGAGTATGCATTGAATGGATGAATGATGAACTTAATTTATTGGTTTTCCTTATTCATTATCATTGTGCTTGGTATTGTTTTGATGTTGTGGTAACTAGGGTTATGAAATTGAAGAACACATTTGAATTAATTGCCCAAATTGTTGTGAATAATTGTTGTTGAATGTTGATATGTTAGTGATAACATGTTGAAATTTTATTTTTGTGTTGAATGCATGAGTGAAGTTGTGAAGGTATTAATTATGAATGTAGGTTAAATATTGTATGATAAGTGATTGCCTTGGAGATTGATTGGTTATAATGGTTATCTTTGAGTAGAGAATAAACATGTGTTACTTGATTGAGTTATTTGTGTATATGATTGTTATCAACTTGACCTTTCATGAATCCACAATTGATTCAGAAACACGAGAGAGTGTTATAACAAGCTCTTGGTGCTTGTTTTAATCCATACAAAACATTTTTCAACTTGTAGACTTTGTCTTCACCCATATTTACTACAAACCCTGGGGTTGCTCAACGTTCACTTCTTCTTCCAATACCCCATTCAAAAATGCGCCCTTGAATTGACATCAATTTGAAATAAAAGTGAAGTCCTTATGTGCTGCAAAGGCTAAGAAAATCCTTAAAGCTACTAATCTAGTCACCGGAGCGAAGGTTTCACCAAAATCAATACCTTCCTCTTGGCAATAACGTTTTGCAACTAATCAAGCCTTGTTCCTAACAATGACTCCTCATGCATCCATCTTTTTCCTAAAAACCCACTTCATCCCAATGACATTTTGGTGCAAAGGTCTGGGAACTAGCTCCCAAACATCATTCCTTTCAAATTAATGGAGCTCTTCTTGCATGGTTTGAATCTAATCTGGATCTGTTAGAGCTTCCTCAACTACTTTGGGCTCAATTTGTGAAAGAAAACATGCCATCATGCTTTCTCAAATGGATGGCCATGTCCTTACACTGTCTCTAACATCTCCAATTGCTTAATCTTGAGGATGATCCCTTAACTACCTCAAATCTTGTTGAAAATCTGTTGGAGAAGCATTCTCATCTACTAAATGGATGTTATTTGGTGTAGCTTCATCTTCATTTGACTCTTTGAGTAATGGTGACTGATTGAGCACATTCAAACACTAGGATTATCTACTGCTCAGTCTGGTTGCTCGACATCTATTGCTCGGTCAAACTGTTCGCTACTAACCTCTCGAATCAACTTATTAGAAATGACTCTTCGAACTAACTGATCTACTGCTCAGATGTCTAACTCTTCGACACCTTTAGTTAGATCATCTATTGCTCAACTCATGTGTGTTTCATCAAACACCACATGAATTGACCTACTACCATTGTTCTCTTATTTAGCACTCTAAAAACCTTGTTGTTAGTAGAGTATCCAAGAAACAACCATTCGTCAACACTTTCATCAAATGCCTTAAGGTGTGACTTTCTATTGTTATGAATGAAACACTTACTACCAAATCTATATATGAAAGTAACTCACAATTGGTTTATTGCATTTCCATAGTTCATAGAGTATCTTCCCATGAACTTTATGAATTATGGACTTGTTTTGGGTGAAACATGTTGTCTTAATAGCTTCAGCTCAAAACCTCTTAGGCAAACAAGAAAGTGAAATCATTAACCTTGCGGCTTCCTTGAGTGTTGGTCCTTTGTTTCATAGAGATGTGTTGGTGATTTGGGTAGATATAAATTATGTCATTGTGCACGGGGTGCTGGTGGATATAGACAGCTCGGTCAACGTCATGTACTTCCACATCTTCACCCAGCTGGGCCTGTTCGGAAAGCAGTTCGACAAAGTAATGGTCCCATTATCTGGCTTCACCAGAGATTCCAACGAGATAGAAGGGGCCATCACATTACCTATAGATTTTGGCGCCCTGCTAAACACCAAGACGATGGACGTAGAGTTTGTGGTCATTAAGATCAACTACACCCACAATATCATCTTGGGTTGACTGGCCCTAGAGGACCTCTGATGCATAATTTCGATAAAGCATTTGTGAATGAAGTTTCCAACCCCGACTGGGGTCGACATCACCCAGGAAAACAAGAAGATAAGCCAGAGTTGTTACTTGAAGGCATGCCGGCTTATTAGGAAGAGAGACCTCCAATTACACAATCACCCAAAAGGCCTTACGAGATGAAGAAACCTGACCTTGTGCCGAGCCTACAACCGAGACTAAGAAGGTCACTCTAAGTCGCCCGAACGGGGTAGTAAAGATTGATGCTAGACTCTCACCCGAGCTCTGGACCCATATAATCGAAGTCATCTGAAACTTCAAAATGATATTCGCCTGGGCCCTGAAGACATGTCGGGCATTGGTCGAGAGGTTATTGGTCACATCCGAGAAGTCCTGTACTTGGAATGGCTTGTTGACTTGGTCCTCACCCCAAGCTGCCAACTTGGAGAATATGCATGCGTGAACTACACTGACCTCAACAAGGTTTACTCTATGAGCCACCACATTTTAGGGGTTTGTTGTGTCTCTTTTTTTTTGTACAAATTGTCATTGTTTTATCATTACAAACCATGTCCAATTTTATTACAAAACATCCTTTGTAATATTCTTACATCAATCCACGAAATATTACTGTAATATTTTTTATTTACTATTTTACCTTTATTTTATCACAAATTTATTAATTCGTACATATCCTAAGTTAATTTGTTCCATCAATATTGTTACAGTTTTATTTTCATAATTTGGTCCTCTAGCATTAAAAATATGTCGTATATAGTCTTTGATTAATACTATTTTTAATATTTAAAAGCAAAGCATTGAATTTTGAATTAAAAATAAAAAAGTAAAAAATAGAAACAAGGCCGGACATTTGAAAATGGGAAGGAGTGGGATTGTGGGAACGCGATGATCACATGAAAGTGGCCCCACTTTATCATGTCGTATGGCAGTTCTCATGCCCATCTTCCATTCAAATCAAAGCCACCATCATTTTAAAAGTCATTTTCAAATCTTGACCGCTTTGTACACCAAAGTTGTACTGCACGTATCTCTAATGACGCCTATCTTCATCTCCTGTTGTTTCGAGAAAATTAGGCAAAAGATTCCCTTCCTTTTTTTTATATTTCATTAAATTTTGCTAACGTCTCATGTTTCTGGGCACTCTTGTCTTCTAAACCACGTTGATTTATTCTCTTCTTAATCATTTTCAAATCCCGAGTCCTAGTTTCTAGGTAATTCATGCACAATTCGCTTCTTCCTGATAAACACTTGACCTCTACTCGATGCATTGCATAAAGCTGGTATCTTCAAGACGGGTTTGCCTTAAAGTGGTATGCTTCACCTGAAAATTTTTGTTTAAGACTATTTTATGGCGTTGGCGGTTGGGTATTCCCAAGAAACACTTTTCCCAGGTCGTGTTTTTGTTAAAATGTATCTTTCTGATTTTTGAAATTTTGGCACTCGGGTTTTCGTTCTTTAGTTTTTCAAAAGTTTGGGGTTTTACGGTTTCACCAAACGCCCCGTATTTGGTAAGAAGTGTAGAGTGAATTTGAAGTTTTCTTACACCACATCTGCGTGTTTGTCGGGTTGTGATGCAGAGAGAGTATTTAATTGTGTAATAATAGTTTTTGCGCTAGGCTTCCGTGAATTTGGGTATGGTGCTGATGCGTTTCTGTGCAATTGCCAGACAATTCTGATGCTTTTAAGTAGGTAGAAAGCTGGCATTGCTGTGAGTTATTAATGCAAATCTACCTTAAAGCATTTGCGGGTTTTTCACCAAAAGGATTTTGAGATTTTGGCAATTATCGACTGCGTTTCTAAGTTTGTGAGAGGCAAGAAAAGGAGAGGAGATCTGTTCTTCTGAAATGGGGCACTATGCAGCGGTTTGGGATCCTAGAGCTGCGATTGAAGTGACAAAAGATTCGAATGGGATTGATCAGATTGTGCTTCGTAGCCCCCATGGGGCCTCTGCTAGGGTAAGCTTCTCTGATTCATCTCTTTCTGTAAACCCATGAGGTTAGGGTCTTACTGAATCTGTCTTGCATCTCTGATAAATTCTGGAAAATAGTTGCTTAGCTTGCAGCTTTTATTCTTTTTTTTGGATGAAGAGGGAAACCCACAATCCTTTCGAGTGTGAGTAAACCTCGACCATTAAACTAGTCTAGCTTATCCATTGTTGACCGGCTCAAACCAGGAGGGCAAGATTCAAACTCGTGACCTTGTGGTTAGAAGTGGGAATCTCTTGCCATCTTACCTTACCTTAGAGCTGTTATTCTTTGAGACACCCAATGGATGTTCTCCTATTTTGATTGACCATTTTCTCAAGTTCAGGTGAGCTTGAATGGAGGACAGGTTACTTCATGGCGGAATGATCGAGGCGAAGAACTCCTATTCACCAGTAGCAAGGTGATGATGCTCCCTTGTTCTTGATAGCCATTAACCTTATCAGGCTCTTGGTATCTTTAAAGTTTTTCACTCTTTATAGAAAGAGCTTTTATTTTATTTTATTTATAGTGCTATAGATCAATTTTCAGTGCAATCATTTCTCCTTTCAAGTATATATGCCACAATGCCTATACAGGCGCTTAGCTCACTGGTTCAGTAGACAGTATTTGGGAGAAAAGACCAAGGTTCGAAACTGTGGGGATTATGCCCAAAGTAGGCAGGTCCCTTGTGGGCGCACGTATTTAGTCCTATTTGCTGAGCCACTGAGTTACCGTGATTAGGGCCGGGGTGTGGGGGCCTTTGGGGAGAAGTATATACACGGGTAGCTCATTGAATCCTGGATGGTGGGCAAGTATATATGCCACAGTGCATTGAATGCTTGAGTCATCTAATAGCTTTGAGAGTAGAAATTGCACAAATATAATGATTAATCGGCTGTCCTATATGTATGTCGTTCGAATAGTTAAAAATGCTATCTGTGACAGGCAACCTTCAAGTCTCCAAAAGCTGTAAGGGGAGGAATTTCTATCTGTTTTCCTCAGGTAATTCTCCCTTTCGGATGGTTTTGGTAGAATGATGGCGGAATTATCTGGGGTGTAATGTCTGATTGTACTGACAATACTGCAGTTTGGAAATGGTGGTTCACTTGAGCATCACGGATTTGCGAGAAACAAACTTTGGACCATCGAGAAAGACCCTCCATCTCTGCCTACCTTTGATGCTAACGGCAAATCTTTCATTGACTTGTTGCTACGATCATCAGAAGAGGATTTGAAGTTCTGGCCTCATAGGTATATCATTGAATGTATTATTATTATCTCTTCTAGCAGCATTTGTAGTTTGTTGAGCATATAACCATTAATGTGCAATCCAACTATCAGCTTAAGCTTTTAGTTGAGATGGAGCACATGCTTCAATTGACTCCAGCCGGCTTGAGGCTATTCTTGGAATTTCATTTACAGTTGGCCAGCTAGGATATATGTAGAATTCTATCAGGAGAAAATGGAAACAACACTTCCATTCCCTTAAAAGAAAAGAAAAGAAAGAATCGGGTCAAAATAGCTGCTGACTGAAATTTTCTTCTACTTTTTCAGTTTTGAGTTTCGCCTCAGGGTTTCTCTTGCATCAGATGGGAATCTAACGGTGATATCTCGTGTTAGAAACATCAATGGCAAACCATTCAGTTTCTCATTTGCTTGTCATACGTACTTGTCCATCTCTGACATAAGGTGTGCCTTTTTTTTTTTTTCTTCTCATTTGCATATGCTTTCTTCCTTTTATCAAATGTTGCCCGGATAGATGGGATTGGCTACTTAAATCAAGCTTTATACATTGCTTTAGATTTGGTCATGTCTGTTCTCGTCTTATTTCCTTCTGGATTTTGTAATGAAATTCATTTGCAGCGAAGTAAGGATAGAAGGATTAGAAACATTGGACTATCTAGACAATCTGTGTCAGAGAGAGCGCTTCACAGAACAAGGAGACGCAATAACATTTGAAAGCGAGGTAAATTTCATTGTACATTATGTGAGACATTTCAGATTTGATGTGATTATGTGACATTTCAAATTTGCATTTAAACTCATTGACCTATCTGAATTCTAAGGCAATCCTCTTTTGCATATCAATTTTTACTTTTTTACCCATTATTCTGCAGCAACTATTATCCTTGCCAGTCATGAATACGTCAAGTTTGAGTTTCCACTTCTTTTCTTCATAAGAAATATTCCTCTTCTTGCAGCTCGATCGTGTTTATGTTAGCACTCCAAATTCTATTGCTGTGCTTGATCATGAAAGGAAGCGAACGTACCTAATAAAGAAGGATGGACTTCCAGATGTTGGTAATGATACTTAAATTGCAACATTCACTACCACATTTTAAAAAACCCGAGAGTGTGGGTAAACCCTGCCTTGTGACCCTAGTCGGTAAACCAGCCTAGGTTGCCCATAGTTGATCGTCTCAAACTAAGAAAGACTAGGATTGAACTCGTGATCTTGTGGTTACAAGTTTGTATCGTTAGTCATAATTCTCAACTAAACATGCCCCCCTCACGAGTTTGTATCGTTAGTCATAATTCACGCCCCCTTCACGTGTTCGGGCTGATTACTTTTTGATGGCCTCCAAGCAACACGAACCAGATTTGATCCTTGGCTCTGATATCAAATTAAAGCATGTGCCCCATCTTAACTAAAAGCCTAAGCTCATAGTTAGATTGCACATTAATGGTTATAAACTCAACAGGCATTTTAGGTGGGGTTAACCCCGAGCAGTCATTTATTGATCATGTGTGTTGTCCTGTTCCCAGTGGTGTGGAATCCATGGGAGAAGAAATCGAAGGCCATGGCGGATTTTGGAGACGAAGAGTACAAACAGATGCTGTGTGTCGACGGTGCAGCAATAGAGAAACCCGTCACGTTGAAGCCGGGAGAGGAGTGGACGAGCCGCGTAGAGGTTATGGTTGTACCCTCAACCTTTTGTGGTGATGATCTGTGATGCCCTAATGCCCCAAAGAACCAAAAGTTTGCAGCAGAGCATAAAGCTTTTTCTTTGTTCTGCTGGAGGGAAGTATCCATCTTTAGGTTTTGTGTATCATATTAGAGCAATGGCAATACAAACAGGCGTATTACATGTCTCTAGGGGATATCTATATCTATATATATATATAATTAGAATGTGGACTAGCAAAGCCTAAGGTTTTTAATGTTAACGGCTTCGTTTCACATGTTTATTTTAGTTGTAAACATTTGTTTCATGTTTTATTAAGGGCTTTTATTATGTTACTAGTTTTTTACGCGCATCGTGCGATTGGGATAATGTCAATATGTTTTTTTTAAATAATTATTTTAAAGTATATCAAGACAAGATTATATTTGAATTGTTTTCATAATTGAATGTTGAATTTACATATTTAAATAAGTAATTTTAAATTTACAAATGCAAGATAATATAGTCAAGTTTGATTATAATTGTCAATAAAATAATTGTATAGGTATAGTTGAAATTAAATACGGGACATAAGGAAGAGCAAATAAAAATTAGGACATAAAATATTAAGAGTGAATTCCATTTTTGGTCCTATTGTTATAGGGGTGTTTCTAATTTTAGTCCACCTTAATTTTTTTTGCCACTTTACAACCTCTGTTATTGAATGTGTTCCACTTTTAGTCCACCGTTAATATTTCCATCTAGAGGCCGTATAATCCACGGGCATTTTGGTCTTTTTATGGTTGTCTCTTCTCTTTTAATCTAGGCGCTTCGTCCTCCTCCTCCGATATTCGAAGATGGCTCTTCGAACAACTGGCCCGTTTGGTTCACGGAATAGGCCGGGAACGGCATAGCATTCCCAGTAATAGGCATATTCCTTTGTTTGGTAACCATTTCTATTACCAGGAATAATATTCCTGGTAATAGCCTATTACCTCAAATAAGGTAATAGTTATTACTAGGCCCCCCCTGGTATTAGCCTATTACTGAACGTCCAAGAATAGATTTTAGAATCTATTTTCTTTTTTACCCCTTTCTTTAACTTAATTTTTTCATTCTATATATAAATTTATCTTATTTCACCACCGTCGTCGCCACCACCACCATCACCGCCGTCGCCGCCACCACCACCACCACCATCGCCGCCGCCACCACCACCACCATCGCCACAACCATCGCCACCCCCACCACCACTGCCACCGCCACCGCCACCACCATCGCCGCCGCCACCCCGCCCACCGCCACCAGAACCACCCCCACCACCGCCACCAGAACCACCACCACCACCGCCACAACCGTCGTCGCCCCCACCACCACTGCCACAACCGTCACCGTCCCCACCACTACCACCCCAGCACCACCACCGCCACCACCACCATCGCCACCACCGCCACCACTATCGCCGTCGCCGCCGCCACCATCATCACCACCACCGCCACCACCATTGCCGCCGCCGCCGCCACCACCATCACCACCACCATCGTCGCTGCCGCTGCCGCCACCACCACCACCGCCACCAGAACCACCACCCAGCAGCAGCACCACCGCCACAACCGTCGCCGCCCCCACCACCACCGCCACAACCGTCGCCGCCACCACCACCGTCGCTCCCACCACTGCCACCACCACTACCACCCCACCACCACCACCACCACCACCACCATCACCACACCGCCACCACCATCGCCACCACCACCGCCACCACCGCACCACCACCACCGCCGCCGCCACCACCATCATCGCCACTATCACATATTTTTATAAGGGTACTTATGTCTTTTAAAACATATTTCATTTCTATTCCTTAAATCAACCAAACACTGTAATATAATTTCTAAAGTCTATTCTTTCCGCGAACCAAACAATAGAATATAATTCCTATTCTATTCCTTGCCTATTCCATTCCTTATGGAATAACATTCCTATTACCTCAAAATTTATTCCGTGAACCAAACGTGCTGAACGAGAATGGGATGCCAAAGCTACATCGTTTCGTTCGTTCCAACGTGGACCGGCGAGGTTTCTTAGGTTTTAGGTTTAATGTTTTCATTTCTTTTAGTCAAGCATAGTCTTGGATGAAAAGAAAGATCAAAATACCCCTAGATTACATGGCCTCTTGATGGAAGTACTAACGGTGGACTAAAAGTGGAACACATTCAATAATAGTGGTCATAAAGTGGCAAAAAAAATTAAGGTGGACTAAAATTGGAAACACCCCTATAACAGTAGGACCAAAAATGGAATTCACTCAAATATTAAATATATATAATATTGAAGAGCTAAGTGCTGATTGCCAAACAAGGACATTGCGAGGTAGTTTCCCACTTCAACTTATTGTGTGATTTGAACTCTTTTTGTCAATAAAGCCTCCAAGTATTTAATATGTTTGGCTTAATTATATTTTTTTAAATTTTTTTTTAAAATAATAATAATAATAATAATAATAATAATAATTATTATTATTATTATTATTATTATTATTATTATTATTATTATTATTATTATTATTATTATTATTATTATTATTATTATTATTATGTATACCCTTATGTCATTAAGGACAAATTAAGAAATTTTAAGAAAAAATTAAAATCTGATCAATTTGAGTCATTCATTTGATTAAAAAAGTTTGACCGCCATTTTTTCTACCCATTATAGGTCTGACTCTCTTGGCCTCTTATTATATCTTAACTATAATAAAGCTATATGGTTTGGGAAGTAATTAATGTTACAATTAATTACCAACATTATTATTATTATTACTAGCTACAAATATAAAATAACCACAACATCCTTTACTATAAGAAAAAAAAAAAAAACACAACATTTGAAAAATAAAATAGCTATTTTTTCCTCACAATTAATTACCAACATTATTATTATTACTAGCTATAAATATAAAATAACCACAACATCATTTACTATAAAAAAAAAACACACAACATTTGAAAAATAAAATAGCTATTTTTTCAGGCCGTGGGTTAATTATTGGACTTTAGAATAAAAAAAAAATCATTTAAGCCATAAATAAAATTTTAAATATATATAAATGTATATATCGTATGGGTCTTTAATGTTTTTCTGAATTTCTAAACTTAATACATTTGAATTATCTCCACAAAAAGTGGTCTTGGACTTATAGAATGACATTTGGGTTTATGGAATGACATGTGCATAAAGAATATATTATATAATCATATAAAAAAATGTGTTCAATTAGAGTTTAAATTTACTCATACAAAATTTGAAATTTGCTTTCTAAATGTAATTATCTTAGTTATTATTCGTATTGTGAAAATTATAATATAGATGAAATATAATTAAGAAAAATCAATGTAATTATGTAAATTCTCTCTATAAGTTTATTTGAATATGTACATAATTAGAGATTATATTAACCATATAAAATTTTAATTTTAATTTTAATTGTAATTTTGTATTCTATAAAAATAATAAATACTTGACTAATGGAAGCTCAAAAATATTATTATATTAAACAATTTAAAATATTTTTATTTTTTCTATTCTTTTATTTATATTTATAATAATATAATTTTTTCTCCGTGCATCGCGCGGGTGAATTACTAGTTAGTATATATAGTAGATAGTAGATAGTAGATAGTAGATAGTAGATATATAGTAAATATTATGGAGTCTTTAATTTACTGGGTGATTGATTCAATTACATTGTCTCTTGTAATTTATTTATTTACAATGTACTATTTTGGAATATGGAATATTATGAATAAGAAATTGATGGGTTTCTCTCCCAGTGCGCAGTTGCACAAGCAATATTTTTACAACACGTTTTGTTTACGTAATTAATTTGGAGGGAATAAAAATGTAATTCTAAATATTATTCCATAGAGAATAAAATAGATAAGAAATAGAAAATAAATTGTATTCTATTATTTGGTTTGTTAGAGGAATAGACACACACACATACATGTGTGTGTGTGAGAGAGATAGAATAACAATAATAATAATAATAATAATAATAATAATAATAATAATAATAATAATAATAATAATAATAATAATAATAATAATTATTATTATTATTATTATTATTATTATTATTATTATTTATGTGTGTGTGTGTGTGTGTGTATATATATATATATATATATATATATATATATATATATATATATATATATATTTATTTATTTATTTATTTATTGATAGATAAAAAATTATAATTAATTAAATATATACATTTATGTAATACATTATATTTATTAAATATAAATATTAAATCATGTGCAAAGGGTTTTTTGGTATTTGTAATATAAAAGTTATTCTCAAGAGTATGTAAATAGCTAATACCAAGACCCCCAAGAATGGCTAATCCCTTTGCAAAGGTAATAGCTCATTTTTAGAAAAGTTATTCCCATGATAGTATGACCAAAATAAATCATGTAACCAATGAATGTTATTCTATTTCTGACATATTCCATAAACCAAACATGTCATTAGTTCCATGAATGTTATTGACACTAATAATATGTTGGTTCACGGTGTGAAATTAAAAAATAGTCATTTTTTATTTGGTTGAAAGTCTGAAATTTATATTTGTTTTTGTTTGATTCATTTAAAAAAAAAAACATGAACATAAATCTATGACAAAGTTATTTCTTAAAATGTATTATTATTTTAATGATAATTATTATTATTATTATTATTATTATTATTATTATTATTATTATTATTTATATTAAAATAAAAGTACAAATGAAAATATATATTCTCATTTCTCATTTTATTTGTCATACTTAGTATTTATTGGTCAAATCAATTTTCTCTTTTTTGCTTATTTTTATTAGCATTTTCTTATAATTTATAAATTTGATTTTTTTTTTTTTGTGTTTAATATTAGTTTTAATGTAGTTTCTAAATGTGGAAGTTCTACCTACTAATTTTAAACTTAATATTATAAAAAAAATTAAATTGTTAATAAGTTTAGTCAAGTCTCGTGCAGTACATCTCTTGTCTCTGGTTTTCGATTGCTCAAATTTTTATACGATCAACCTCCGTGAAGTAAGCAGATCAGATTGGAGGCGGCATACGATCATCTTCCCCTACTGCCATCCCCACCGCAAACAACGTCAGCCTTCATTGTCTTCTCTGCCTTCACCGTCTTCTCTTCTATTCTCCGCCTTCGCCACCGGTTACGCCTTGCCCCACCCGTCCATTTTCACCGCTACCAGTCGTTACTCCCTTAATTTCGCACTGTTGTTTTCATTTGCTTTGTTTTACTGGTTTAATTTTGTTTGCCGTTTCTGTGTTTTTCCTCTCGTTGTTTTGACGAGTTTCTTCCTCTCGTTTACTGGCCAATTCTTTTTCATAAAGCGTGAAACAATAAAACTGGTAATGGCGTATGTGAATCTCATCCTGGGTGACAAACATGACAATGAAAAAGAGATTCATCTGAACTATGATATGCAGTTCATCCCGATGGAGATATTGTCAATGGATAAAAGAATAAAAATAGATACTCAGGTGATGTGCAAGACTATTCAATTAGTTTCAGTCTTGAGTACGTTTGACCAAATCATTAAAGAAGCTTTAAGTTCCTCCAAAGATTTCAGCTTCAAATTTATGAAACAGTCTGCAAATTAAGTTTTCCCTAGAGAAATTGTTTCTATGTCTGATTGTAAGGAATGTTTGACCATTCCATCGATCTTTATTGTAAACGTTTCAACCTATGATTAATGAATTAGCTTCTTTATTTTCAAAGAAAGTCTCGTTAACTAAATCATAATAAAAATATGTAAATACATAATGTTTAACTTATAACCTACTCAGTAAAATTAAATATATAAATTGACAAAAATAATAATTATGAGCTAAATAAATGGAAAAGGATAATATTTTAGGATGTGGGTTGGACTGAATCAAGACTTCTATTGTTTTGTTTCGTCCCAACCCAACTCTAATTTATTCTTCCAAAAGGCTGAACCCCAACCCTAAGGGCCCTCACACCCCGGCCTGACAGAGCATTTGGGAGGATGTAAATCATGGTGACTCAACTAAACATGAACCACAGAGGCTAGACTGGTGCTCACTGCGCACAAGG